TCTTTTGGGACATAGCCCTAATATCCTACTAGTATTAGAGTTGAGGCTAAAAAATTTAGTCATGTAGACTTACTTACAAGACGAATCCCAAACTTCAATTGAATGTGGGATGTCAGCCTCGAGTGGGATTGCTATAGGAAAAACATCAGTTGGCTCTCAAGACAGATGTTGTACCAACATAAGTGGTTTGTCACACATAGAAAAGTTGTCCCTTGATGGAGCTTGTAATTCTTTCTGTTTTAGAGAAGAGTGACACATAAATTATCATCTAAGGGTCCCAGATAATGTGGTACTCCATTTGTTAGGGTATTGTTAATCCCTTGGAATCTGCAGACAAAATCTAACAGTAACTAGATATGAAGTAGGTAATGTAACTATAAATTGAACTGTTCTGCATAATAAGTTAACCTTTTGAAACGAAATTTAGTTACCCAGAAACCCTCTCCAAATGCGACGATTAATATTTTAGGTCACCCATTACCCAATGATCAATGTGTTGTTTAGAAACTCTATGTAGGGGTGGGAAATGGGTCTAGCCCAGATCGAATTATCCCGTTCAAGCTGCTCACCTTGCTCAGCTTTAGCCAGGTTTTTCAGCTGGAGGCTGCATGACATGGTAGAACTTGGCAGGGACTAATTAACAGAAAATAGAAAATTTAGGGACTAATTTGCAACAACCAGAATTGCTAGAGCAGAATCGCAGATTTCAGAATATTCAGGGACCCTTTTACTAGTACAGAAAATTCTGGGCATGTTTTCTAAAACCAGAAAATACAGGGACAGAGATACATAATATTCTAATCCAGGTGTTTCTGATGCAAATTTTCATGAATGAAGAGCCAGGGAGCCTAAACCATCTCAAGAGCTATCAAGTGAAAATTAGTCCAAGGCTGCAATACAATATAGAAATTTTGGTGCATTGAGTAAGTCGATCAAGGAAATGGGTCCAAGGAAAAACATTAAATTTAAGGAAAAAATTAAAACAACATGGGTTACATAGGAACTGGATGATTATACAACTAATGTAATGGTGAATCCACTATGTATATTGAGTATGTCAAACACAGAGACCTCTAGGCAAGTAGTTCCTTTTACGAGTTTATTAAGAAGATAAAACTTATGCTGTTGAGACTTTTGGTCCATATGGAGACGAAGCATATGAAAATACCCACGAAAACGTGGAATAATAGTTTGTGGCAATTTAATGAAACACTAACTTCGGACTGAACAACAAAAAGACCGGATATCTTATGAGATGCATGATGCCCAAATCTAGCTAAAGACCATATGAGTTCTAGCATTTTGTATCTAGTTTTATTTTACTTCGCAGGATAAGTTTTCATTTATTTTCTTGCGAAGTAAAATAAGAGTAGATAAGTCATTTATTTTCTTTGGAAGGTCTTTTCCAACGCCCCCTCTTTAAGTATGTACTTTATTTTATAGCTAACAAAAATATGCAAGCTAATGTGGTTTTAACAAAAAATAGATTTATCTCATAAACCCGTTTATGTCGTGACATCGGCTTGGGTTGGACCTTGGGCTCGTAGTTGTATTGAAACGGTTTAATTATTTTGCAATTATTAATCACAAGATCAATTCAATTTATGAACTTTATTTATCAAGCCCCCTTCTGGTTTAGCTAAAAGTCAATGAAATGTGTGGTTAAAAAATTGATAAAAGTCATAAATTCTATGAAATGTATGGTTAAATTAAATATTAACTTTAACTTAGATTATTGTCAACTTTTTTAGCTAACTCAAAAATTTGCTAAATTATCTTGCTATCGAAATTTACTCAAAATATGTCCGTTGAAGTTTGACTATTGGGATTTAAATTAGATTTTAAGACTGTATGTCTCTTTAATTTGCATTTTTATGCAAGGGTAATTAACTAATTATTTCTCTTCAAAAAAAGTGTCTAGTCCAGTTTATCAATCCCACTACGAGATATGAATGGTTATTTGAGGCAAGATTTGTTTGACTCATTTATATCATCTGCTGAAGTTTTATGCCCTCTATACATTGGAGTTGTGAAATATATGCATAAAACGACAGAGTTAAAATGCTTTTTGTATGTGTGATTTTGATAGTGGTTACCTTTGACATTTTGAATTAGAACATCCCATCTGATAACATATTAAATTCATGAAAACAAAAGAAAAACTGAAAACTACGACAAAATATTTTAGTTTTTAATCCATAATAGAGCCGACATAAAGGAAGATGATCATTCATCTACCTATGATGCTGAGATCTTAAATATTTGGTACATGTTTATTATGTAGTATTGGCCACAGAGAGGGTAATATACTTCTACTTGTAAAACCACATCTCAAATTTACGAAGCAGTCAAAGAGTTTCAGTATTTAATGCTCTCACTTCATTACTCAGATTCTGAAATGATTTCAAGTTCGCTACTGAATATTCTACCACGTGCAGTTGCTGCATTCTGTGTTCCATTCGTGGAAGTGAATGGGTTACGGGGCATGGAGGGAGTTTCTTCCGATTAAACCATTTGAATTACAACTTTCATGGAGGGTCGCTCGACCGGATACCACTGAATGCACCAAAGTCCCACAATAGTTAGTTTTCTAACAATCTTATTGTCGCTCTCTTTCTCAATTTGGATAGCTATTTCTTCTCCGTGCTCCAATTTATTGTAAATCCATTCTGGAAAATAAACTTGACTTTTGTCCTGCCCACCAACATCATTTTTTTTCAATCCTCCAACCATCTCAAGAAGCAACATTCCAAAACTATAAACATCTGATTTATAAGAAACGTTCCCAAAGTTTCTTGAGAAAACCTCCGGTGCAATATAACCTATTGTGCCCCTTGCTGCAGTCATGGACACAATACTTTGCTCCTTGGAACACAATTTTGCTAAACCAAAATCCGATATCTTTGGATTGAAGTTGTCATCGAGCAATATGTTGTTTGGTTTAATATCAAAATGAAGGATTCTTTGCTCGCACCCTTGATGAAGATACTCAACTCCTTTGGCTATGTCCACTGCAATTCCGTGCAACTTCTCCCACCCGAGCTTACTCCTTTGTTTTTCAGAAGATATAAACTTTTGAAGTGAATCATTAGGCAGAAACTCATAAACCAAAGCTCGTGTAAAACCATCGGCACAATATCCAACCAGGCGAACCACATTTACATGGTGGATTCTACCTATTGTGCCCACTTCATTTATGAAATCTTCGCCATTCTCTTTAGAATTATTGAGGATCTTGATCGCAACAAAAACATCATTAGACAACTTTCCTTTGTAAACTGTTCCATATCCTCCTTCACCAAGTTTTTTAATAAAGTTACCTGAGATTCTTTTTATGTCTGCATACGAATATCTTGTTGGCTTGAGTGCCTTGTAATCCACCAAGAATTGCTCAATTTTCAATTCACTCTCTTTTTTCAGTTTGTTTGAGCTATAAATCCAATATGATGCAATAGCAAGAAACGTAGCAAGCAAAGGACCAAGCACTTCACCTGTATATCAAAGAAAACAGATTTCGTTTTTTCACCATAAAAAAGGTATGGAACTACTAAGAAATACGATAAAAAGGTATGGAACTACTAAGAAATACGATAAAATGTTACATTCTTTGTAGTCAAAATAGAAGATAAAATGAGCGCAAATTCTCACCTGCAACTCTTAGTTTTGCCACTGAACCTGCAAAACATTTGAAAATGAACTGTTAGTTTCTCTTCCTACTCTTTAGACTATCAAGAAAACTTTATATAAAATAAAAGAAATAAAAAGAAACAAGACAAAAGGGATATCTGAAATGAGAATATAGGAACAGAGAGAAAATCAGTCTATGTCGTTGGGTGTATGTTGGTGCATTTTTAAGATTTTCTTCTGCTAAAGGATTTGGTGTACATGAAAATTAGATTTTAATTTCAAGTCTTAATTTTAACCACATGTTTCATGAGATTCACGATTTTTCAATAACTATTTCATTAATTTTTATCAAAATTAAAAAAAAAAATTGGGTAAATCCTTAACCCTTCCCCCTCTTACTACCAATATGTTCCCCTTTGTTAGAATCTAATTGCTAAATCCTTATGTAAGGAATTACAAATTCTAATCTACAACGAACAGGGGCTAAGCTCCTTCTGATCCTCGGAGCATCTGAAAAAAAATGGTATGGAACTACTAAGAAATACGATAAATAGACAAGTAATTTTGAATGTAACCTTTTTCCCCTACTCAGGTTATCGTGAAAATACCTATAAGTGGTTTCCGTGGCACCTTGCTTTCATGAAATGGAATGTATCTATATAGAATACATATATTTCTAGACTTGAAAAAGGAGCAGATTTGTGAAAATGATATTAGAGTGTCATAATTCTAGATATTTTTTTTGTGGAAGTCTATACTTCAAAATGCATGGGAAGTTTCTCAAATTGAAAAAAAAAAATGATTTAAATGATATAAATATGATTTTATGTAACAATTTAGAACTTTTAAGTCAAGTTATCGTCATAGATATCTCTAGGATATATTACAATTTTGGAGGATCAATCAATTAAGAACGATTATATTGCCGTCACTATTTTTATTTGATATGCCACAATTTTCAATTTTTATTTTATTTTATTAAAATAATCATAGTTAAAATGACATAAATAAATCTCAATTAAATATTTGTATTCTATTATATTATTTCTTTTGTTGTTATGTACACCACAATTTCACTGACAAAAATTATATTTTATAGTGAGTAATGTGTTTCACAACACACAATAAAACATAAATATGAGTCTTGACTCCTAATTTTTTTTAGAAATCTATGTTTTTAGCTTCATCGGAGTTACTCCAACAGCGAAGAAATACGATCAATTGAAAGAAGATGAAAATATTTCAAGTTTCAAATTCCATAAGAAGTAACGCATATTCAATCACGTGGATTAAGCTTTTAGCAAATTCCAAGCGTTTGTCAACTCCCCAAAAAGTTGTAATGCAAGTATTCTGAAATTTAAGAGTTTGAAGGACAGTTTAACCTTTTTTCTTTTCTTCCTTCACTTCTCTATCTAATTTTAACGGTATATATTGAGAGAGTGAATCTATATATATAGAAAATGTAGTGAGAGAAAATATGAAGACTTTTATTTTTTATTTTTTTAAATATGGATAATGCTATATATTTATAAAATGATTGGTAGTGTTTTTATGGTAGTGTTTTTATTATGAATATGTTTGTGTACAGAATGGTGTGTAATTGTGGTGGAATATAGAACCCATCATCCAAATCAAGAAAGTTTATGCAAAGATATAAGAGAAGGTTAATTGATTTGAGCATAATTCTATCTTCTTCCGGATCGAGTCTCCCTCTCTCTCTAAGTCTGTAAAACGGAAAATATATGTAAAATTACCTTCTGTTTTGCTGCTGTAGCATTCAGTATCATGCAAGATTGAACTGTCATTCTTCAATCTACAATGTTTGCCATTGGATTCGCAATGTCCACAAGATGGTCTGGACCATTCCAATCTAAAAGAGGACAGATTGTCAAATACACCCTGGGGTATGGATTGAACGTCAAACATCTTGCTGCAGGATTGTAAGGACAATTCATATAAGAAATCATCGGACCAAACTCTACAAACGTCATAATCCTTACTGCTGAGGCAAGGTACGGGGATCATATATTCAAGATTATCTCGCTTGATTTTAGAACAGTTGAATAAAGTGGAGTTAATAATATAATAATCTAGGAATTGGAATGGAGATGCGGATAAATTTAGAATTGGAAGCAATCTTGGAAAGCAGCCAAAGACTTGAGATATCTCGATTAATTGATTTTTGTAATCGATTTCTTGAATGGAAAACTGAACCGAAAACGGAAAGTTAGAGTCCTTGACGGATGCCTTCACCGGAAAAGGTAATTCCAAGACCGTGTCATTGTTTTGAGTGCAGCGAAGTTCAAAGCCAGGGTAGCCACAGTGCTGTTGGTGGCGGTCTTTAAGGCTGAAGGGGAACCGGATGGCAGGGCCATACTGCGTGCAGTTTTTCACTTGGCATTCATTTTGAGCAATTGATCCAAGTACTGCAAAGAGTGATAGAAAGATGAGGTAAATGAGTTGAGGTGCCATGTTGAGGAAGAACACTTAATACTGCTTATGAATTTCTGGGCCTTTTGTTTTCGTTCACATTTCCCAGTAGTATTAGTAATTTTTCAAGAAGAAAAAAAACAATCAAATCATAGACTATTAAGCAAATTTATGAGTTGACTTGTATTTCTGAAAGGGTATGGCACAATGATGCTATTAGTGTGAGTTGATCAGCTGACCTTTTATTTGCTGTTTGAACGTGTTAGCTGATCCCTTAAACAAAAAACGCACTTATATTTGCAAAACCGTGTTTCTCCTTTTGGACCCTCATGATGATGCCATGTGTTAGTTCCTTGACCGTTGGATGCTTGACCATCTGGTGACTCATATAAAGGAGAGTCCTAGGGTTTGAGACGCGTGATTTTTTCATTCTTCTAGACTCTTCATTTTACTCTGGCTGTTCGAGTTTCATCTCCTTCTTCTTCTCTGAAAATCATCGATCTTCTTGATTTTCAACACTTGCTCAAAACTGATTTTGTAATCTTGAGTGATTATCACTGAGAAGTGTATTGTGTTCTTGGGTGAACCGATTTGTGAAGTGAAAAGATTGTATCTTCCATGATCTTGGGTGATCTTTGGTCTGAGTGCGAAAATACCCTAATATCTAAGCCTTGGTGTGTGATTAACACTCACAGTGGTCTGATGGTGGAAGAAGCATCTTATTCATTGGCCGAATCTTTCATCTTGTTACTGCCTTAGGGCATTTTAAATGAGATCTCCGATTTTGTGCTTTAATACTTTCATCTTGTTACTGCCTTGGTGTATTTTTTTTTGTTGATTAAATCTAATATTGTGGAACCTCCTCTTTACAGTGGTATCAGAGCATTCGGACGGAGGTTCTTGACTCTAACTCGTGTAGATCTGAAACTGTGACACTTGCTTTTCCTAACCTTCGTTATTTCTTGAAACCCTATTGAAGGGATTTGGTGAGATTGTTCTAGTTTTACGATTAATACTGCAAATTAATTGTATAAATTTTTTGAGCTGCTGTTACTGTGATTTAATCTTGTGATCTGTGACTGCCTCGATAATTCCTTTGTCTAGAAACCCTAAGAGTTCTCTGGAATCTGAGGGTTACCTTGACATAAGTCAAAGGTCTTGATATTATTACACTGCTGTGATACTGATTAGCGTATAATCTTGGTTCTTGCTGCTCAAATGTGATTTGTGTTGTGAAAAACACGTTGTGACTCTTAGACTTTGAACAATTCCTGTGAAATAACTGGAGTACTTTACAACTCATAATTACAGTATATTCATGTCCCTTGAGTGGTGATACTTGAATTTATTTTGAGTTGTAAATAACTGTGAAGTGTCTATTTGATCTGTGCATTCCGAAATTGCATTCAAATTTTTTTTTCTAAAATGACAAATACAAAATTTGAATTGGATGATTTTAATGGCAAAGGAGACTTCAGTCTCTGGCGCCAGAAAATGAGGGCAATTTTGTTACAACAAAAGTGTGCTAAAGCCATTGATGAAACACGGCCTGATGATTTAGAAGAAACCAAGAAAATTGAACTTGATGAAACTGCCTGGAGTTCAATTTTTCTGCATTTATCTGATAATGTATTACGTGAAATTGGCGAGACTAATACTACTGCTGAGTTGTGGAAAAAGTTGGAAGATACATACTTGACTAAATCTATGCCAAATAAGGTGTATCTTCTAAAACAATTCTTTGGTTTTAAACTTGACTCATCTCTTGACCTTGAGGCTAATATTGATAGATTTAATAGACTATCCCGCGACCTAGCTGACTGTGATGAGAAACTCTCAAAAGATCAGTTGGATGTGGTCTTGTTAAATTCAATAAGTGATAAGTATAAAGATGTTAAAAATGCAATTGAATATGGGAGGGAAACTCTAACCACTGAAGTTATTATTAATGCTTTAAGAAATAAGGAGTTAGAGTTAAAGTCTGATAGGAAAGAATCTATCAATAGGGAGAACTTGATGGCCAAGACTAGATCTAATCCTAAGACTGTGAACTTTAATAAAAAAACCTGGACACAAGAAAAAGACAAATCCAAAGGATAAAATGAAAATGAAGACTCAAGGAAAGAAGTGTTTTTATTGTCTAAATGAGGGTCATTTTATCAAAAACTGTCCTAAAAGAATTAGTGATTTCAAAAACCAATCTAAAGATGATGGGGGTGCAGCCTTAGCCTACAATAATGAGACCTTAATTGATGAAGTCTATGTTGCTGTAAGCAATTCACCTTGTCAAGAGTGGATCCTTGACTCAGGCTGCACCTATCATATGTGTCCAAACAAAGAATGGTTTACAAAGTTTGAAAATATAAAGGGTGGTAAGGTTTTAATGGGTAATCATATGACATGTCAGGTTAAAGGAATAGGAACAATTACCTTGAAAGTAAAAAGAAATAATAACCTGGTTTTAGAGAAGACTAGATATGTTCCTGATTTGTAAAGAAATCTTATTTCCTTAGGGGTTCTAGATGACCTAAACCATGACATATTGATTAACAAGGGATACATTAAAATCTTGAGGGGTTCACAAGTAATTGTTGAAGCCCCAAAGAGACATGGCCTGTATATTTTACAAACTGAAAATTTTTTGGAGTCCATATCAGTAGCAATCTCAGTCCAAAATGATAAGTGACAAAGGGCTACAAATTTTGAAAAAACAGGGTGCCTTTGGAAATGATAACTTAGAAAAACTCAGTTTTTGTGACTATTGCATTCTTGGAAAACATAATAGATTATCTTTCTTACCTGGAATGCATAAATCTGTGTCTATACTTGAATATTTGCATGCTGATCTTTGGGGACCAGCTTCTGTAACAACTCATACTGGTTTTAAATATTTTTTGTCAATTATTGATGATTTTTCTAGAAAAAATTGGACTTTTCTTTTAAAATCAAAATCTGATACTTTTGGTGTTTTCAAGAACTGGAAAACTCTGATTGAGAACCAAACTGATAAAAATATTAAGGTATTAAGAACTGACAATGGTTTGGAATTCTGCAACCTTGAATTTGATGAGTTGTGCAAACTTTCTGGTATATTAAGACATCGAACAGTTGCACACACCCCACAACAAAATGGTTTGGCAGAGAGAATGAATAGAACGATTCTTGAAAAAGTGAGATGTATGCTCATAAGTTCTGGCCTGCCTAAGATTTTTTGGGGGGAAGCTGTTAAAACTGCTAGTTATTTGATTAACAGAAGCCCTTCTAGTGCTATACACTTTAAAACCCCTGAAGAAATGTGGAATGGAAAACCTATTGACTTCAGTAACTTGAGGGTATTTGGTTGTGCAGCATTTGCACACCAATCTGAAGGAAAATTAGAACCTAGGGCCCTTAAATGTGTATTCTTGGGCTATGGTGAAGGGGTGAAGGGGTATAGGCTATGGGTAAGGGAAAACAAAGGCTATAAGATCATAATCAATAGAAATGTGTTATTTAATGAAGATGATCTACCCTGCCTTAAATCTGAAAATAAAATAGAGCCCTTGAATCAGGATGAAAATGTGGAAAAGAGGGTTGAAATTGAGGTGGAGCAATCTGATGATGAAAATCCTCAGAATACTACACAACTTAATGAGAGAAATGAGGAGATACCTGGTGATGGTGCTCCTAATGATGAATCTAAAGCTGAATTCGAAATTGATCAGCCTTTAGACAATTATCAACTTGCTAGAGATAGGCAAAGAAGACAAATAAGGCCTCCTGTTAGGTTTGATGAAGATGTATCTTTGCTATCTTATCAAAGTATAATTGAGAATGAACCTGAGTCCTTTGAGGAAGCCATAAATAGTAAAGACTCTAAGGAATGGCTTGCAGCAATGCAAGATGAAATGCAATCACTTAAAAAGAATAAAACTTAGGTGTTGGTAAAAAGACCAAATGGAAAAAGGGTTGTTGACTGTAAATGGATTTTCAAAATTAAAAGAGGTGAACAAAGTGAAAATGATATAAGATACAAAGCTAGACTTGTGGCTAAGGGTTTTACCCAAAAAGAAGGTATAGATTTCAATGAAATCTTCTCTCCTGTTGTAAAATTCACTACTGTAAGAGTGATTCTGGCCTTAGCTACACAGTTTAACTGGGAACTAGATCAATTAGATGTGAAAATAGCTTTTTTAAATGGTGATCTAGATGAAACCATTTACATGAAACAACCCAAAGATTTTGAAATAAATCAGAAGTCTGACTTAGTTTGCCTTCTTAAAAAATCCCTATATAGCTTAAAACAAGCTCCAAGACAATGGTATAAAAAATTTGATAATTTTGTGCTTGGACTTGGTTTAAAGAGAAGTAACTTTGATACCTGCCTATATTGTAAAGGAAATGGTGGAGAAAATTCCCTTTATCTACTCCTTTATGTGGATGACATGCTATTGGCAAGTCATGACATAAAAGAGACAGAAGATATCAAAAATAAACTAAAATCAGAATTTGAAATGAAGGACTTAGGTCCTGTGAGAAGGATTTTAGGTATTGAAGTTAAAAGAAATAGGAGAGAAGGCACTCTAAGTCTTAGTCAGAAGTCATATATGTTGAAATTGCTAAACAAATTTTCTATGTCTAATTCCAAAAATGTGAGTTTGCCTTTAGCAAATCATTTTAAACTCTCAAATGAAGAATGTCCTAAATCTAAAGAAGAATTTGAAAGGATGGCAAGAGTGTCATATTCTAATGCAGTTGGGTCTGTAATGTACCTTATGGTTTGTTCTAGGCCTGATTTAGCATATTCTATAAGTGTTTTGACTAGATATATGTCAAATCTAGGTGAAGCTCATTGGGAAGCCATGAAATGGCTTCTTAGATATATTAAAGGTACATCAGATTTAGGTATTCAGTTTAGAAAACAAACTGAAGGTGTTGTCTTGAGAGGATACACTGATTTAGACTATGCTGGTGATAGAGACAATAGGAAGTCTACCTCAGCCTATATGTATACTTTATGTAATTCATGCATTAGCTGGAAATCACAGCTTCAAAAGATTGTTGCATTATCATCTACTGAAGCTGAATATATTGCTGCAACAGATGCTATAAAAGAAGGAATATGGCTGAAAGGGTTATTAAATGAATTTGGTTTTGTTAAAGAAGTAGTTCTCAGCCATTCATTTAAGTAGAAATCCAGTTTTGC